GAGCCGATTCCATCCCCATCCCGTGTGGGAGTTGAGGAGGGACTGGAGGATGAGATAGCTCATCGAGGTTCTTTCGGCTCCCACAATGGTGCTCAGCTGAATGATGCCGTGCGTTCTTCCCAGGTGATGGTGAAAGACTCCCAGCCATCACCTCAATCATCAGCAAAGCACACAGAAGCCGACAATGCTAGGACCATCATTCATCGGTCGCCTTCGCGTTCTCATGTGAATTCTCCCTCTCGAGAGCGTCTTCAGTCATCCTCTCCCTGCTCACAGCCACAATCGAGACATTCGAACCACAATACCCAGAGCAATGGGTCCGTATCAAACGAACATACCATTCAACCCGTTCAGAGTGTACCCTTTAACGAGAATATACCAACACACTCTAGCAACTCCTCAGAGCAGCAACATGTAAACTCGTCTCATTCCAGAGTGGAACTGGGAACTGCGGGCAACTCATCCTCCATGCCATCTCGTGTGGCTGAGACACCTATGAATCAACGCCTTAAACATCTTGGTGATATGGCTCGATTGACGAGTATCCCAGAAACAAGCCCCAACCACTCCCAATGCCCTTCCGAGACTGGGTCCCATGGCGATGGCCTGAACAACGAAGACGACGATCTTCCACCCATGTTCAATGAAGTCCCCAGTATTCGAAAGAATCATATCCGCCCAGTTGGGGTAAGGGCACTCTCTTCGCCTCTCAAAAAATTGTTGTCCAGCCCGGGCGGAGGCCAACGTAGGGCTTTGACTGAAATTGCGGCAGATCTTTCGCCGCAGGTCGGGGTAGGAGGATTTGATCTGGGAATCGGGGTCTTTACCACCGAAGATCAAGAGTTCAGAGCCCTGATCGATGGATCGCCGACTCGACCGAAGAAGAAGAGGCGCGGCAATAATGGCTCGAGTTACATTGCCTCCGACCCTATCATGCCTCTCACCCCTCGCATACAGCCCCCAAAATCCGTTGCGCCTATTCGAGCAACACAAGAACGATCAGCTGCTATTCCAGCAGAGTCGGATGATGATGTGCCTTTAGTGCAAGCCCCCGAGAAAGCTGTGCGAAGGCAATCAAAGCCTCCGCGACGAGCACCCAAGAATGTTTGGGAAATCGAGGGATCACCTGAGCAGCCCTTCCGTCGGAGATCAAAAATTGGCAAGATGGCTACTTCGCTGTCTACGCAAGAGAAGCACCTTCCACATACGAGCTCCGGACTTGCTGCGAAATCAGCACCTCCACCAAAGGTTGTCGTTCATAATCGACCACTACCTCCATCATCGGAACCCACTGAGGTCTCATCAACAATTGCCTCGGATGATATTATTGAATCGGAAGCGTGTAGTGTCAATGATACTCCTACGACGCCCCGATCATCTCACATTTTGTCGGAAAACACTCTGGTTGCTCCAAGTCAGGTCCTTTCTGTCTGGATGGGCCAGAAACGGGCATACTACCCAGGGACATGCTTTGGAACACCACTGGGTGTATCGCAGACTAAATACTCTGTGAAATTTGAGGACAGCCTTCCTGTCGAGGTGCCGAAGGGTGCCGTTAAGAGATTCGAGCTTCGTGTCGGAGACGCAGTCAAAATCGATATGCATAATGTTCCAAAGGTCACTCATGTCGTCCGCGGGTTCGGTGACAAGCTCAGTAGAGAAGAGCTGGCCAAAGCCGCTGACGATGGCCTTCATCCTATAACCGACATTTACGGCCACGCAACTGTCATAGTCGGTCCCAAGCAACGCAAAAGTCTGCCAAATGGAGGAATTGGCAACAGCGAGAATGTGATTAAGGTGCCAATTGCTCGCGTCTATCTTGATACTATCCTGTGGAATCAACTCAAAGATCGGGCGTTCACATATCGCCCGGCGCCTGTTCAACAAGAGAGCATGGTCCATACCCCATCCGAAAGGTCATCCGCACCTGCTTCTCCCAGTTCTCGCTTGTCCCGCAGCATTCAGCAAGGCAGCGGCATCTTCGCTGGGATGGTATTTGCAGTCTCTTACAAGGAGGACGAAGCATCCAAAAATCGTGTGACTAGGCTGATCATCGAAAATGGCGGCACTGTGTTACATGATGGATTTACTGAATTGTTTGAGGCATCGTCAATTGTTCCTGTTGATACTCCCATCAAAGGTGGGACCAAGGACGCAGAACTCAATAATAAGGGTCTCCGTCTCACTGCTCTCGCTGATGACGTTGGCTTTGCGTGTTTAATTGCCGATACCCATTCTCGGCGAGAAAAATACATGCAAGCACTGGCATTGAACCTTCCATGCTTGGCCGGCCGGTGGGTAGAGGACTGTATCGCCCAAGGTCGTGTCCTCGACTGGGATATCTACCTCCTCCCAGCCGGCGACTCAATGTACCTCAACGGAGCGACAAAATCCAGAGTCATGGCCCCCAACCCTCCATCCACAGCCCGTCTCGCCGAAACCATCTCCGCACGCACAAAGCTGCTCGCGGGGCAGTCAGTGCTCCTTGTCATGGGACGTGGAAAGGTAGAGGAAAAGAGAAAAGCCTATATCTTCCTGACTTACGCCCTAGGGGCCTCCCGGGTTGAGCGTGTCCCTGATCTCGGCACGGCTAGGGCATTGATAGACTCGCAGTCCGACGCCGGTCTGTCGACTAATTGGGACTGGATCTATGTTGATGATGCAGATCAAGCTGCTGCAAAGTCGATATTGACACCCAAACCGAAGACGCAGAGAATCCATTTGTTCCATGGGAAGAAGCGTAGGAAGTCGATTGCTTCGTTTACTCCTACGCCCCCTAATGAGGTTCAATGTACTGCGAGGGTTGTTGGTAATGAGTTTGTTTGTCAGAGTTTGATTTTAGGTCGGTTGTTTGAGGAGTAATTTCTTGTCCGAGTTCTTGATACCAATGTCATTTATCATATTTATCCTTTCATGCATCTATTCAAAATATAGATGCTATTAGCTAGCTTGAACACTTGGCCCCTGGGATGGGACCTTGGGTTTTCATGCCTCTAAAAGGAATCTTGACTTTGAATTTATGACATCGTAGTCGAGAGTGTTCATCAAGTTGTACTAAATCTATATCCACCCCTATCTCCAAATGTCATGCTCATGCACAGCTATCAGATTTTATGTAGTGCAATAGAATATTGGAACAACACAGGCTTTTTTTTTGGCTTTTTCCAAGATTGCCTGAACTATTCTTTGTTTGTTCTTTCACCTATGATCTAGTATACTTACTTGTTTTAGCATGGAGAATTGTCCCCTTCTCTTCTCCATATATCGCGATACAGTGGGGTTATATACCTATCAACATAGGTTATATCTATGAAGAGGCGTGGGATATACCCTACGACGGTGGTATATCATCGTATTGCTCCTGCCCACCTCTCACCTATAAATCATGCTTATCCTACAACCTCCTCCTAAACTTTTCCCTTCTTGAATGATTTTACTTTCCCCCTTTCCAACTTGGCCACCCTGTGCTTATGTTAAGGGCAAATGATCCAAGTTGGCAATCATGACCATCCACGTTGACGAATTCATCGTCGCTGCTCTCAGTGATTAAGAAATGGAACAAGTTGTCAGTCAGCTATGCCAGTACTACGATATGAAGGACCTTGGTGAACCAAGCAGCATCTCAATTGTGCGCTGAGTCGTGACTACGAAAAGAAGACAATCACTATCAGGCTGGATCTCCTCTCTTTCGTCGACGTTTTCTCTTACTTTCCTTTCAATTTCCTCTCACTTTTTATTTGCAGCGACATGTTAAACTATCTTATCAGTAATATAATCTTCCTCCCTGCCACAACGTCAGCAGCACTAATAAAGGGGGTCATTAACAGCGCAACATTTGAAAACACTCATACATATACCTGTACCTTAGCTACATTCCAATACCATTCAAGCACCGCTGCCTACGCTTCCTCTCACTTTGCCATCAGGCTACCTAGAATAACCAATCCGCTAGGTCAAACATTGGCTTTTGTGATTTCTGTTGGCGGGGATATCAACGCCACACTATACTATATAGAGGGAAGATGACGGGCATTGATATGCTTTAAGGTGGACAAATGAGCCAAGGGGACATTTTCTAAGTAGTCTAGGATGGAAATTGAAGACATTTCAAGTACCAACATTCAATCAGAGATATTTTCAGATGTCCTGGAATTGGTGAGTTCATTCGAGTGCACTATCTTGCAATAGATGCTGTGTAGACGAATATTTAATTCGATCAACAGCTTGAGGAATACCGATTACCTTCACTCTCCCCTCACTTTCACCACACCTCGTCTTTTCTTCTGCCAATTTCTGTTTGCTTACCAAAAATCATTGAACTTTCATCACCTCTTCACTTTGGAACATCCTCTGTCTCTTTACCAGGAACATTTCAATCTTCTTATCTTCACTTTTGACACTCACTCTCTCCACCCTCTCCACTCTCTCACAGCAAAGTGATTCTATCTCTACCCGCGCGGTGCATACTTGAAGCGGGCCCTTGACGCCCAGGATACGGAATGCTGGCCAATTATTGATGGACTCATTATGGACGAGAGAACTGTCGGACCCCCGATTATCTTTGATCTTATTACACTTATCCGAGCCAGAGTTGACAAAAACTGCAGTCACTGATCGCTCCGGCTGACACCCGTCGCGTTGCCTTCCAACTTTTGCAGGATTACTTCACCAAACCCGATTCTCCTCGAAATCACCCCAAGTACAGTCGGTAAACTAGCTCATGTGTACATACCACCGATGGATCCAAAGCATTTTTGTCAACGAGTGGCGTCTCGCCTTGGGCGAACTGGTCAAGGTTTGATTGCCTGGAGGTTACCGGGAGCAGATGCAACCCTTGCACAAGTTCCGCAACCTGCGTGTGCTCAAGTTAACTGATGTACTCATACCAGCCCGTCAAGGAGGGATGATCTATGCGAAATAGAAGTCAGGAATCTCATTTTAGATATCTAACTATCGTCGAAGGAAATGATCACACATTATTCTAATAAAACTTTGAGTAATCAGCGAGTCGCACTGGGAGCAGTCTCTATGCTGTCAGATAGCCGCTCAGTAGCGGGGATAGGCCCTGGTATACCTGGCTCACGGGAGGTATCGTGCATGTCTCCAGCTGCCGGTTCTTTGCCTTTGGGTCCCAACTGTGTACTCGGCTCCACGGCATAATCATTCTCGGTAGTAGCCATAGGCTCTTGCACATTTGACGTATGTGTACCGTGGGTAATTTTGGATGCTTTAGCATCTCCAGTTGCTTCCTTGGTATTCGGATCTGTAGTTGGTTTACTTTTGGCAGCTGGTGCTGTCTCCTGGTGATCTAGCTCATGGCATAGGCTGTGAGAATCTCTGGTGCTTGGCTCAACGACTGCTAACTGATTAGGAGCAGGCGCCACAATTCCCTGTGATTGCTTTTCAGGGACTTGCGCAGAGGCCTCGGGATTTTGCTCGTGCGACTGCTCGGGGCCCTCCGAGCTTAGTTCCGGAGTTCTAGGTGTCTGCTCTGCGTTTGGCCCGACAGCTACTGACTCATCAGCAGCCGCCGCCAAACCTCCCTGTGGTTGTCCCTCATGGGATTGAGCAGAAGCCTTAGTATTTTGTTCATGCGACTGCTCGGGGCCCTCCGGGCTTGGTTCCGGAGTTCTGGGTGTCTGCTCTGCGTTTGGCCCGACAGCTACTGACTCATCAGCAGCCGCCGCCAAAACTCCCTGTGGTTGTCCCTCATGGGATTGAGCAGAAGCCTTGGTATTTTGTTCACGCGACTGCTCAGCGCCTTCTGCGGCTGGTTCCGCAGGTCCTTTGATAAGGAAGTAGTCCCCGTTCAAAACCTTGATGAGGACTCCCGCTTCAGGTGGTGGTGGGATCAATCCACTCAGCAGCTCCTTTGCTCGAACTTTCCGCCCATATAGCTTTTTATTTGCATCCGCACGCTCTGCAAGAACACCACCCTCGACTGTAAGACCGCCGTATAGTCCACGAGTCTTGGAGTAAGCGAATACCCCAGTCCCGCCCTTTGTACCCACTACTCCCCCAGCCTCGGCACTCCGACCAACGGGCCCAACAGCCATGGATATATTCCCACCCAGAGTCAAGTTTCCCGACTGCATGAATGTCTTCACTGCCGCATCGGTAGTCAGGACGAACACGAAATCCGTCAATTCTGCGCCAAATTGACCTCCTGCGCCGAGGCCGCCCATTGCCATCGCTGATGGGGCGGACCAGCTGCCATCTGGGAGACGGGCGACAATCAGTCCCGAGCCAAAACGGATAGAGCCTAGGAATCCAACTCTGAGCGCTGTGAATACGGCGATACCCTGGCATAGAGTGAGTCATGATCGATTGGGCTGTTTCCCACTAGGGTAGCTCCTACCTTGGCTCCCACGAATATCTTACGTGGGATTTCTCCATCGATTTTGAGTTTCGGGTTGATGAAGGATTCGAGAATCGCAGCGGCCTTTTTGCACTCGCCTGTGAGACTTGGTAAGCCCGGAGTCAGCCATGTGAGGTAGCACGGGAAATATTACTGGATAGTGAGGCAGGCAACGGGTTGTGCAACGGGTTTTTCATAATATCTTTTCTCCCGCTTTGTGATGCTCTTTGTAACAAGATGGCTACGCCTAGCAGAGTCACGTATGGCCTCTGATATTCAGCATAGGCTCCACAAATGCGAATGAGAGAAAAGCAATGATATTTAGCCACCAGAAGTCTACGCAAACTCAAGTGATGGTTGTTCTCACAAAGTCGTGTAATCAGGGGGTAGAGTTGAACTTAACTTGCGCACGGACGTTTCGCATATACTTCACGATTGGAACCGACATGGACAGAAAGCTCCGGGGGATTTCTAGGTAATGTTTATACAAAAATTGTAGTTTCACAACTCTCCTACCTCTAGCAATATGCTAGTTATATCGTACCAGGATAATTCGGAAGAACGAGACAACCAACTTTTTAGGGCCTTGTATGTGGAATCCTGCGTGATATATTCTATTACTCGACTGATGATCAATGACCCCTCAAGGCTTTATATTGTCTTGGAATCTTGAAACCCAATGTTTGTAAGCAGATATATGAACATTTGAACTGATTAGCTCTCCCTAAAACATACCAGTGACCGTAGTAGATCATCCGGGGATGGTTTACGCGTCATACAGCTCAATATCACGCGTCGAACGCAGGTAGCTGGACTTAGAAGACGGAAGGACTATTTCATTCCCTACATTTACACATGTAATGTAACGTTGAAATTAAGCCAAGCAAAATAAATTTCGTCCAAAACATCCATGGATAGGGCTCGCGGGCCGCAGTTATGCTTATTTTTGAACCAGCGCTTCCAAGGTTACATAGCTGGGGTTAGGCCGTGCATTGGGGTCCCCGAATAGAATGAGACCCGAATATACTATATATCTCAATAATGGGAGATCTTCTGAGGTGAGCCTAGTTCAGTGCAACAGTTGCAATAGTCCGGTTGAGAGTTATACTTATCGGCTGTGTTTCCCTGTAACATCGGCCACATCTTGTCTCAAGTTCCCAGCGGTTGCGCCATTATTCCCGATGTTGTTCCTGACCACTCTAGTACTGCTCACACTCCAGGCGAGTAGCGTGATATCTGTGCCTTTAAAACGACGAGTGATTCCCCTCGCTGACAAAACATTCGATTATGTGGTTGTTGGTGGTGGTACAGCTGGAAGCGTGATCGCCACGCGACTAGCAATGAACAACTTCGATGTTGCCTTGGCCGAAGCCGGGGGACACTATGAGGTCGAGTCCATGGCTGAATTTCCTCCAGCTGATGTGCTGCCGACGGGATCAAATCCTGATTCCAGCTCACCGGAGGATTGGGGCTTTGTGACAAGAGATCAGCCGGGCGCTAATAGGCGGGCGATCCATTTTGCCCGAGGAAAATGTCTTGGGGGATCGTACGTACCCGTTTCTGAATTTAGCATAGCAGATCAAAACTGATTTCTCTGCAGGTCGGCGTTGAATTATATGATCTATCAACGGTAATGCCCATGGAGACTGAATGCTTGCGGCTTGACTAACCGGATATTGCAGTCCCACACGCGAGTCTATGGAACTATGGGCAACTGCAGTCAATGACAGCAGTTACAGATTCGATGAAGTGCTCCCATTTTACAAGAAGAGCGTCCAGTTCACGCCCCCCAACGCCGACTATAGAGCTCAGAATTCCTCGGCGGACTACGATGCTGATGCCTACGACCCGAATGGTGGCCCATTGCAGGTGTCGTATGCTAACTTCGCCCAGCCTTTCTCATCATGGATGAAGCTCGGTATGAAAGCCATCGGAATCGATCAGGTAGAGGACTTTAACCTGGGTACTATAATGGGAGCTCAGTATTGTGCATCGACCATCAACCCATCCAACGAGCTTCGAAGCAGCTCCGAGGAATCTTTCCTATCCAAGGTCACGCCCGACTCACTGACGACGTATGAAAATACCCTTGCCAAGAAGGTGGTTTTCGATGGAAAGAAAGCAACAGGAGTTCAAGTGAAAGGTCCGCTGGGCAATACTATCACCCTTTCGGCATCGGAAGAGGTTATCATCTCTGCCGGTGCCTTTCATTCCCCCCAGCTCCTCATGGTGTCCGGAATTGGTCCCTCTGGCCAATTAAAAGAGCATGGAATTGACATTATAGCCGACCGACCAGGGGTCGGTCAGAACATGTGGGATCACACGTTCTTTGCTCCTTCGTACCGAGTGCGCGTGACAACATTCACTGAATTTGCTACTAACCTGCTATACGCCGCTGACCAAATTATCGAAGGACTAGTCAACAGAAGTGGATTCTTAACAAGTCCAATCGCGGATTTCCTGGCTTGGGAGAAGATTCCGGAATTCTTGCGCTCGACTTTCTCTCAGAAAACGCAAAGTAAACTGGCCAAATTCCCATCTGACTGGCCTGAAGCAGAGGTGAGAGATCTATCTCCTCAGACATAGAGAAATGCTGCTAACACGCAGATTGATAGTACGTATCTGGCGCAGGGTATATCGGCAACGCGTCAAACCTCTTGACAATCCAGCCAAGAGATGGATACCAGTATGCCTCGATACTCGGTGTTCTGATTACACCTATGTCCCGAGGAAATGTCACTTTGCAGTCCGCAGATAACTCAGATCTACCAGTGATCAATCCCAATTGGCTCGATGATCAGGCTGACCAGGAAGTTGCCGTTGCCATGTTCAAGCGAATACGCCAGGCTTTCCAGAGTAAAGCTATGCAGCCCGTGGTAATCGGCGAGGAGTACAATCCTGGGCCACAGGTCCAGTCGGATGATCAGATCCTCGAATTCATCAAGGATAATGTGATGACCATATGGCATCCGAGTTGTACATGCAAGATGGGAACTTCCGGTGATGATATGGCTGTAGTTGACTCACAGGCGCGGGTTTATGGAGTGGACAGACTGCGCGTAGTTGATGCTAGCGCCTTTCCTTTCCTTCCTCCTGGTCATCCTCAGTCGACGGTTTGTAGGTTTCTCTCGGTTGCTGCTCTGAGTTCCCAAATGCTAACTGTGCCACAGATATGCTTGCTGAGAAGATCGCAGATGATATTATCCGCGATTCCTAAGTGTCTTGGTTTTGGATTCAAGGGCCAACACGGAGAAGGGACCAGTAACTGAAGATATTTCTTTCTAAATTGACATTTAGATAATAAATAGCTTTGCTGTTTGGTTTTGTTGGGCCGCGTTAACGTTCAGTATGGGAGGCATACTTTATATCTCGGGATGCCATGGAATCTGGGCTTGAACATGGCAATTCCGTGCCAATATCTGTCTAATGAAAAGAAGAAAAAAAGGAATAATACACGTGGGAAGGTTGATGAGTAAATGCTCTTTCTATAATACAGTGAACACCAGATACAAATCCTCATATCGCTACAGAAACCCAGAAGTTATTGGAACAAGACATCACGCACACGGCAAATGCCCTCATTTCTTGGCGGGCTTCTTCTTGCCCTTCAAACTCTTGAGCTGAGCAGCGCGCTCAGCTCTCTGCTGACGCTTTCTCCACGCCAGCCAACGGTTACCACGGTCATGTGGCATAGCAGTGATGCCAGCCTTCTCAGCAGCCCGACCAATCTCCCAATTAGCCTCACGGTACATGTAACCGGGGCGCAGCTGCGGGCCAGACTCAGCCTCGACAGCTTCGACATCCGTCACACGGACACCATTCTCATCAACAGAAGCAACGAGATCAGACTGAGCCTCGACGCGTTCTGCCATAGGCACAGGAGCCATATTCAGCTTGCGCCGGCTAGGCGCATTGCGTGGGTGTGGGAGCTTCTCATCCTTGTCGAAAACAACTCCGATATACCGGCGCTTCGAGTGCTTCAGCGGGTCGAGGTAGTAGCGGACGTATCCGGACTGTGTTGCGTAGATTGTGTGGTCCCGTCCCATTCCGCAGTTCTCACCGGGGAACCATAGCGAGCCTCGCTGCCGGAAAATGATGCATCCCGTTACAACGTACTCGCCGCCCGAGCGCTTAGCTCCGAGACGCTTACCGGCCGGATCACGCGAATGTTGATTGGCAGTTCCTTGCGAGGCGTGCGAGGCGTGACGCACTTGTGTGAATGGGAGGAGTGCGCGGGAGAGGGAGGGTGTTGGGGTGGTTTTCGGGAATGTGGATGTTGCGGAGAGGGTGCGCAGGAGAGATTGCGATTGCGTGGGTGTCGACCGGATTGTCGGGGTAAAGGCTCGCTCCAGTGCCCGCAGGGGCGTTAGCACTCGCGGCTTGAACATGGTGGCTTGTAATTGGGTTGTTTGGAGGTGTAGATCGTGAAGCTCCAAAGGGGAAGTTTTTCGTCCGGAGATCAGGCTTGGCGTCACGTGTGTACCCGTAAACTGGCTTCATCTATACACCACTTGAACTCGTTCTACTGTCTATACAAATACCTGATCATTATTCATTTACTGCCGGTGTGTTTATTTGAAATATGTTGCAGAGCTGGCGCCAAGCCCTCTGGGCTCTTCTCCTTCTCGTCTCTGTCGCCCAGGCCCAATTCAACTTCTTCGACCAGATGTTCGGAGGCGGCGAGCAGCAACAGCGCCAACAACAGCGGTCGCAGAACGCTCCTAGTGACAGCGATCGGTATCAGCAGATGTGGAGTGGAGGTAAGATTCAAAATATTTTATTATTGAGAACATGCTGTCGCAAGTCCACATTGCTCTCGAGACCACATAACTGACTACCATGGTCTCTCGCAGCACAATGCGACAACTACCTTTGCCCCGGAACTCTTGCTTGTGTCCACTTCCCACACCATTGCCCATGTCCTCACCCTGATGTTGAGGAGAAGGTCGAACTTGGAGAAGGAAGTGCTGTTTGTGTGTCGAAGGGAGGGTTCAAGGCAGGCGAAGCTGCGCGGAAAATCGAATTGGCTCGCAAGGGTCTTTTGTGAGGACTGGGTCTATGATCTTTGTTTTATCATATAAGAACTGCATACAGCTGCCGATGGTTTATGAGGTCAAGTCGTGGAGCTTGGTGCCGCTGGACGGATTGACCCGATAGGTTTACTTTGAATCTTTTTGGACATGCCTATACCTGCTCAAAAATTAGAAAGCTTACCTCGTATATGGAAACGAACTGCATATATGTCCATACAAAGCCTGGAAATTTTACCTGCGACATGCCAACGTAGTCTACGGAGTACTATGCTATGCATATGCACACAAAGTGACTTGATGTACGTTTTCTAAGCTCAGAAAAGCTTATATCAGTAACAATAATAAGTAATAGAACATGACCGAGTAGAAAACTACATCCAAGATACGCTGAATATCAAAACTAAGAACGTATATTCCAAGTAAGAGTAAATGATCTACAAAACTATTGCCCTTGCTATCTCCGATTATCTCCGTGACCTCCAAGGTTCCGTCATCAGTCTCTGAGCCTCTCAGTGGAGTGTTCGGACTACTTACCAACTTCGCATTCCACCAACATTTTGCCTCAGTCCTTGTCTCTAGGCTAGTTTAGTCTCTCTCAACTATCATGTGGGGTTTAAGGCTCCGATACCTGCAAAAGCAGTGGACACCACCTCAGACTCGAGCTCTTTCAAGCTTCAGAAGTCATGCATCTCCGCGCGGTCCTCGCGATAGCATAAAAAAGCCAAATCTCATACCAACTTCGAGGAAAGCTGAACCCCCGCAGCAGCATGAACCTGCCGCCCCCGAGTCCCAAGATGCCACGAATCCCAATTACGACCCTTCGCAAAATACTCTACTTTCTCCCGTTTACCTACCCGAAGATCCTCGAGGTGTCCTTAAAGAAACCCACCCGGCAATTTCGATACTGGCAAACTCGGGAATAGTTGTACAAAGACAACTCGAGATGATGAATGTTCTGATGTGAGTGCTGGACAAGTACCCATTTTAGAGAAACATGTGTACTGACTGCCTCAGTGGATTTGAACAAGCGAATAAGTATGTCATCATGGATGCACTGGGAAACCACATTGGATATATGGTAGAACAGGATAAGGGATTGGTAAATACAATGGCACGGCAATGGTTGCACACCCACCGAAGTTTCGTGACACATGTATTTGACCGAAACGAAAATGAAGTCCTTCGAGTAAGTTCATGAAATGGCTATATTTTGGTGTGATTCCCGTTTGGCTGACCATCGCAGTTCAATCGTCCCTTCTCTTGGATCAACTCCCGAATTCACGTCTATGATCCTCTTGAGAAAACGCCAAATGCTTCCTCGGCATCCACCTCTCTTCAAAGCACCACACCTGGTTCTGTCATTGAACCTGGCACCAGTTCAAGCGCAAGAATATCCCCACTTGCTCTCGGTCAAATGAGAGTTATTGGCGAAGCGCAGCAGCAGTGGGCACCTTTGCGGCGAAAGTACAATCTCTTCACCCATCACCAGTCCCCCAACCCGGAGACAGACATGGGCACCCATGATGTCTCGCTATCCGACTCCGGTTTATCACGAGCACAGCAGATGGAGCTGGTGCGAAAACCCGATCAAGACCAGGGCCAATTCAATCAATTTGCTTACGTTGATGAGCCCTTCCTATCATGGGATTTCTCCCTGAAATCAGCAGACAATCAGTTAATTGGATCCGTCAATCGCAATTTCGCAGGCTTTGCTCGCGAAATCTTCACTGATACTGGTGTCTACGCAATGCGAATGGATTCCGCTGCTCTCGGCACCGAGACATCACCCAGCAACAAAGGTTTAGGTATGACCCTCGACCAACGTGCTGTTATGTTGGCTACAGCTGTAAGCATTGATTTCGATTACTTCAGCCGCCAACACGGCCATGGTATGTTTGGCGTTCCGATGCCGTTTATGGGCGGCCAGGCTCCCGCTGGCGGTGCAGCTGCAGGAGGCGGTGCCGCTGGTGAAGCCGGGGCCATTGGTGGAGTTGCTGGAGGAACTCTTGAGCGAGTTGGAACCACCGGTGGTATGCCAAATGGTATGGTTGGAGGCGCTACCACCGCAGGTGCAATGGCTGGGTATGAAGCAATGCATAGGGGCAACACAACCGATCCAACCGATCCAAATGCCCCAGCATCGGATTCGGTGGACCGGGACCCAAAGGGCTTCCAGGATGAACCTGAAGACCCTTGGGGTAAAGATGACCCTTGGGGTGATGGAGGTGACATTGGTGATGGGGGTGACGGGGGTGATTATTTTGACTGGTGATAGAGGGCTAGTTTCTGTACTATAAGATTAACAATTTAGATGTAATATTTGCTCTTAAAATGAGAAATTTCACCATTCACTTCAGCATTTTCCCATATCTGCCCTAAACCCAGGTTCCCCTGACGGCATCGCCACGCTTTGTCCACCGCCCCGGAATTATTCCATCCCCACCCATCCCACCCAAAGCCCCCGCAGACAATCACCTCAGCATTGCCATCGCATTTCGCATTTGAATCAATTAAACCGCAAAAATGGCGTCCTCCGTCGCCCAGAAGCGCCTTTTCCACGAATACAAGAACCTCTCCACCAACCCACCAGAGGGTATCACCGCAGGCCCCATCTCCGAAGATGACATGTTTTACTGGGAAGCCCTGATCCAGGGCCCAGAGGAAACCCCCTTCGAGGGCGGCGTCTTCGCAGCGGAACTGAAATTCCCAAGAGACTACCCCCTGAGCCCGCCCACGATGAAGTTTATCGGCGGTGGCGTGTGGCACCCCAACGGTACGTGACCGAGACACCTCGGGAGTGACTTGCGCCTGGCTACTTGCTTGCGTTGCACAATACACAATGGCAAACATCTTACTGACGACTTTGGTTTATAGTCTATCCCAACGGAACCGTCTGCATCTCCATCCTTCATCCCCCTGGCGATGACCCAAACCACTACGAACATGCTTCGGAGCGCTGGTCGCCCATCCAGAGCGTCGAGAAGATCCTCATCTCTGTTATGAGTATGCTGGCTGAGCCGAATGACGAGAGCCCGGCCAATGTTGAGGCTGCTAAGATGTGGCGCGAGCGGAGATCTGAGTATGAGCAGAAGGTTAGGGACGAGGTGAAGAAGGGTCTGGGTCTGTGAGCCTGGCTGGGTTGTGGGTGAATGCCAATGTTCTCTCGCTGCTGCGCAGGTGGATG